CTATCACCCAGCCACCCCATCCCTCCCCCCCCCCACCACTCCAGCAACCCTCAGTTTGTTTCCTGAGATTAAGAATTCCTCATATCAGTGAGGTCATATGATACATGTCTTTCTCTGACTGACTTATTTCACTCAGCATAACACCCTGCAGTTCCATCCACGTCGTTGCAAATGGCAAGATCTCATTCCTTTTGATGGCTGCATAATATTCCATTGTGTATATATACCACATCTTCTTTATCCATTCATCTGTTGATGGACATCTTGGCTCTTTCCACAGTTTGGCTATTGTGGACATTGCTGCTATAAACATTGGGGTGCACGTACCCCTTCGGGTCCCTACATTTGTATCTTTGTGGTAAATTGTGGGGTTTTTTTTCTTAATGATACGTTGCACCAGTTGAGCTAGAAAAAGACACAGCATTAGCCAATAAGCCATAATAACGGATGCTTTTAAAAAATGACAGAGAGCTTTAAAAATTTGATTTATTGGGACAGTCATGGAAACTAAGAGAAAAAGAATTCAACAGTGATTCTCTAAATTTGGAAGGAGAAGCCACACATAGCACCCCTTGATGCCACTTCTGCTCCCAGGGGTGACATGGGGTGTTTATCAACCTGAAGGATCAATAACATGGAGGACAGTTAAGTATCAGAATCCTGGGGATAATGTTCTGCACAAATCCAGAGGAAGAGCTTCTTATTCTAAATCTTGAAGCCTTCGTTCACACATTCAGCCTTGCTGTGCAGGTGAAATCTGCTGGCTCGCTCCCATGCCGCAGGAATCGTGGAGTCTCCATGCCCTCCTGTTTCCGGATGCTTCCTCCTAGTGCATTTCCCTAGAACCTAGGTCACACCACATTTGCAGACATCTGAGTCTGGTCCTTTTGGAACCTAAATACCCTCGACTAGTTTTGACACCTTCATTATTGTGCCAACACTTACGGATTCTAAAAGCATTGGCTTCTTTCATCTGGACTAGAACCTTCCCCAGCCCAGCTGGCCCCAGGACACCAACCCCTGGAGCTGCTCTTCATGAGCAGTCATGCCCATTAGATCTCCTCGAGGGTCCTGCAGAGGAGACCCAAGCACCTCCTCTCTTGCCTGGATTGAAGTCTTTGTATCTAACACACCCATCGTTGCATGGCTTTTTAAAAATCCAAATTTTGTTTGCAATGGTTGACGTTCAGAGCAGGTCAGTTTGAACCTTTGCGCTTGAAATTTATTTTAACTGGAAAATGGGCACTTTTCATTTGCCAATAGAGAAACGGGAGCAGAGTCTTAACAATGGCCAAGGCAACACTTAACTCTGACACTCCTTGTCTCCCCTAATCTGCTCTCGTGTGGAGCCTGCTGGGAAGGAAGGACTTGACCCTCTGGTGCTAAGGCCTTAATTTCATGTATGTGTTCAGGCCAGATGATCCGTAAGGTGGCTTCTCTTTCTGAAAGACGGTGAATTCATGGCTGATTTGAAAATGAGCAGTCCAGTAGTGAGCAAACTTAGATAGCCCTTCAGGGGTGGAGCTAATGAATGGGGGTGAGGGGGTCTCAGCTGTTCCTCCAACATCTGAGCAGGTGGTGAGAACGAGACACATAGGCCTCGACAGTGAAGTGGGAATATAAAACCCTGAAACTGTTTGTCATAAAGAATGGCATGCCCAGTAAAAGCCAAGGCAGATGTTCGCATAAAGTTTCTGTTGTTTGTGTTTTTGTGGGGGTGCTTTTAGGGTGTGAAGTGTACTAGGCCCCGCAACATCTGCCTCCCCATGTTGCCATATATTAGCAGTCTTGCAACCCATTTATAGGGTTGGAATTATTTTTGGTAATGATTTTCAAGGGAACAGATGAGATGCAACCTGCACTTAGCTCTCACTACATTTATGATACAGCTGCCTTCCGGGGAAAGCCCCCAGACATCATAGATGGCCCAGCTGTCAAAGAGGTGATGGTCTCACAAGAGTTTTAAAGATCAAAGGGGGCTGTATTAGTTTCCTGCTGTGGCTATAACAAGGAACTACAACTTAGTGATTTAACACACCACAAATTTATTATCTTACAGTTCTATGGGTGAGAAGCCCAAAATGAACGTTGGGGTGTTAAAAACCAGGGTCAGTCTGCCAGGGTTCTTTCTGGAGGCTCTGGGGGGGAATCCCTTGCTTTGCCCACTCCAGCTTCTAGAGATCACCTTGGCTTATATCCCCTTCCTCCATCTTCAATGCCAGTGTCTTCTGTCCTCTCTTGCCACCCCAAGATCTTTTCTCTATGCCTCTGAGCCTCCTACTCTTCTCTCTTAAAAAAGACGCTTGGGATTACATTGGGCCCACTCAGACAATCAAGGATAATCTACTCATCTCAGTACTCTTAACTTAATCATTTCTGCACAGTACCGTTTATTATGGAAGGTAACATCTTAGGATGTGAACATCTTTGAAGGAGGACCGTTATTCAGCCTACCACACAGGCTATAGAGACCAAACCAAAGCCCAAAAGATAAATGATTTATCTAATCTGGGGCAGGGCCATAGCCGTATCCCTGGCATCCTCACATCTGCCATGTTTATGTGCATCACTGACAAAGATGGGTAGGAGCAGACACTGATGGGGACTTTATTTGCATAACAAGCTGAATGATTGGGGAATAAGTATAGGATTGTCAGTGATTTAAAAATAGTTTAGAGGAGACAGAAGTTTATATTTTTAAAAATACATGTTTAATTCAAGAGCTTCCTTAAATATTATCATTTGGCTGGGGCCTGCTACCTTCTAAAGATGTTAAATGACTTGCAGGGATAACATAACTTAAATAATGATGGGAAATGAAAGTGCCAAGGAACACATGTACAGGTTCTTCTCTTCTTTCTACCCCACCCCCTCTGCTTCTCTTTCTCCCTTTATTACTCTACCCATGGCTGCCATTTGAAAATCGGTTAGAGATAGAAACCCAATTCAAACTCCTTAAACCAAAAGGAATGGAACCACCCAATGGACTTACTGCCATGGGTTAAGCCAAATTAAGTATTTGTTATAATTCACAAGGAAGCCCCCCTTATTTTGGTGTTGAAACATTTTTCTAAGAATCTGAGGAACTTGTTTTTTGTTTTCCTCCCACTTCTGCCCAACAACGGCCTGTAACAAATAAAAGGTTGGTAGAATTTTGGATTTCAGTGGTACTAGACATACCATCCAGCTCGATTCTTCTCCTGAATTATGGGTCTTTTATAGAGTCTCTTTGGCAGGTATTTGCACTACTCCTCTCTTGCCTCAATTTTCTCCATCCATGACATGAGAAGGAATGATGGCTGCTTAAAGTAAAGGCTGAATTAAATTTGAGTTCCTGAGAGGACAGGTGCATTTGAGAGGGTTGTGACTTGATTGTTAGGTTCATCTACTCTAGGAATCACTCCCTAACTCCACTACCACTCTATCAGGGTTCGGTGCCCCTCACCTAGAGATTCATAACCCACTCACCTTGTTCTGCAACGCTCCAAGCCATCCAACTGCCCACAGTGTGGTAGTCATACATGTCTGCCTTACTTGAAATTCACCTAACCCAGGGCTGGACCTGCAAAAGGAACTCACTGTACTGTTCGTGGACACTGTGGATGGATGAGTGAATGATAACCATATAAGCTCTTGGCCACATATTGGACACATGGATCCAGAGCCTCAGTGGAAATACTGAGCACAGGGGAAGGGGGCAGGAAAAAGCTGAAGATATAGTCTGTGATCTTCACTGACATAAAATTAGTAATTGGTTCCCCCTGCTCTGCTAACTTTCTTAAACAGAAGATAACTGGAAATTGCCTTAGAAATTTATTTTCATAGATGTTTTAATGGGACACGGAAGATGAGTAGATGATTCCCCTTTGGATATTTGCACCCAGCACTCCATGTCATTTTTTTCCTGCCTATCAAATGAACACATTCTTAAACTGCTGGTACATTAGGTTAGTGACACAGTGCTGGATTAAACAAAGACAAAGTCATTTTGCCAAGGTCCTGTCTGGCATTGATTGGGGGTCATAAAAGTCATTCATTCCCTCAGTTTGGTTTTGACAACCCACAGAATAACACCTTGTATATGTCAAATGCTACTTTCTTTTTTTTTTAATTTTTTTATTGTTATGTTAATCACCATACATTACATCATTAGTTTTTGATGTAGTGTTCCATGATCCATTGTTTGTGCATAAAACCCAGTGCTCCACACAGAACGTGCCCTCTTTAATACCCATCACCAGGCTAACCCATCCCCCCACCCCTCCCCTCTAGAACCCTCAGTTTGTTTTCGTCTCCCCCTCCGATTTACTCCCCTTCATTCTTCCCCTCCTGCTATCTTCTTCTTCTTTTTTTTTCTTAACATATATTGCATTATTTGTTTCAGAAGTACAGATCCGTGATTCAACAGTCTTGCACAATTCACAGTGCTCACCATAGCACATACCCTCCCCATTGTCTATCACCAGCCACCCCATCCCTCCCACACCCCCACCACTCCAGCAACCCTCAGTTTGTTTCCTGAGATTAAGAATTCCTCATATCAGTGAAGTCGTATGATACATGTCTTTCTCTGACTTATTTCACTCAAAATGCTACTTTCTTTTAAAAGCTTTAAATACCTTCTATATAGAACAAGGGTGATTCCCATATCATTCCTGCCACACGGAAAAGCGGAGCATCAGCTCAGGAATTACTAAATATTTGGTGTACTTCAAAAGATGATGTGGGTGGACTACACCTTCTTCCCATTAAGGCGTTAATGCTAACTGTACTCATCAAAGAGGCCCCAAGATGAGTGGGTCTGAAACAAAATCTGAAGGTAAAACGTAGAGAAGTGGACCATGATCCAAGAAAATACCCTGGTGACACCCAAGTGTCTCTATGGGTGGGAAACATCGGGTGGCTCTCTCTGATGTCACCACTTTGGTGCCATGGCTCTTTTTGCATTGTTTTTCGAACCTTCCACCCAGACTAATTCTACAATTTCTTTCTGTTTCTAGTTCCTTCTTTCTGGGGATTGGTGAACTCAGCTTGGAATCTTTGCTCTGTGGGGAAACGGCAGTCACCGGTCAACATAGAGACCAGTCACATGATCTTCGACCCCTTTCTGACACCCCTTCGCATCAACACTGGGGGCAGGAAGGTAAGCAGCCATGTTGCTTCCGTTGCGAAGTTAAGGACGCTGGGAGATGCTGATTCTGAAAGCTAGTCTTCTGGGTCTCCATCTCTGTGATGAGTTTGTCTTTCCATCTAGGAGTAAAATCACAGACCTCAGGCCTACTGCCAACCAATAGGCAATTGGTCTAATTACATAACCGATTATGTCTAAATTGTGCTTTCTCTCCTTAGCTAGTCAAACCCTCATTCTAATTACTTTGTGCCACCTGGAGGTTGCCCGAGGCCCTATCCCTTGGTACCCCGTGAAGGTCAGAAAGCAATGTTGCTTCCCAAGCATATCACGCTGGGAAAAGCCCCCTTTACTGGGGCTTCTTTTAACCTCAACAAAGTGGGGAAAAATTTGTTTTAACAAAAGTAAAATCAGAAATGTATCATCTTGGAAGGAAAAACAAACAATCACCTTAGATGATTTATAAGAAAATCAACAATTAATCTTTCTAGGGGCATCTTGGCTGGCTAAGAATCCTAGCTCCTGCCCAGAAATGCTGAGTTATGCTTTGTGATTCTCACACCAGCATCTCTCCTTCCCCCACCGCCCCCCCACCGCGATGTGCTCCTCCTTAATTTTCGGAAGGACATAATGCCCGTGGTGTCTTCTTGTTGCTAGGCTCTAGCATTTCTCTTGTGGGTTAATTTCTTTTTGGCTACCTTTTACTGGTGAGTAGTTCACTGAAGGTGGGAAATACACACACACAGCAAACTGTGTTTGAAGGTGATTTAGTTATTGTGAACTCAAGAGGAATGGAAAATCATTTGTGTCTAAGAAATTGAGATTAAAATTATGAACAACTTTTGTTACTGCTGGCAGCCAATTCTCCAGGGTTTGCGTTCCTTGGGCTCTGCTCTCTACTTACACAGTCTGTTTGCCTTACTTACCATGGAGTTTGTAAGAAAGTTTTTCCACTTCTGATATATCGGGATGTATTTTTTCCTAATATATAACTGTCACCGAAAAACCAACCAAACAAACAAGCCCAAAGTCTGATGACTGTTTTCGGAGATGTTAGTGACTTTGACTCAGGTCACAAAGTGGGTTTTAAAAGGCATTGCACGTAATTGAGACTATTTCTCTATGTAGTGTTTGTGTGCTATTTTAAATATGACTTGAGAAGCATTTTTCTAGAAAAGTCCTATGTAGGTCATGTAGTTTATTGCTCTGATTCCATAGAAATTAACCTATCCAAATTATCATTCCATTTGAAGTTTTATTTTTATAAACTCTAAAGGAAACTTGCCATGGGTTCTACATGTACCTCTCTCCTTCAAGTCATGAGCATGGACAGGCTCACTGACCAGGACTCTGAAAGGGCAAGTTGCAGTTTTGACTTTTCGATCATTCTTTCCTTCTTGGAGAGGGTGATGGAGGGAATAACTGTATTCTAGACAAAGTGAGAAGCAGTAAAAATGCAGAATGAGGGCTGGTGCCTGAGTTCCAGAAATCAGCTACAGGATGACCAGCAAGACTGAAGCACAGAGATCAAAGAGGTGGAGGAGGGAGGTAAGGATGGAAAAGGAAGATGGGGCCAAATTTAGAGTCTGGGTTAAGGAACCGGATCTTTTTCCTGAATTACAGCAAGCAATTGAAGCATTTTTAGGTTAAGAGTACGTTGGACATGGGATGAGAAAGGTGGCAAGCTAACGCAAATAATGGACACATAATTTTCACTTTTCCATCAGCCCGTCTTAGAGGAAAATATTGATGTGAAAGAAAAAAAAATAATTAATTCAAGACACTTCTCCCTAAAATTTATTGGGAAAGGAGATGGGGGGGATAGCCTGATGTTAAAAAGCACTCATGTTTTGGTTTGGTATTTTTTTGTTGTTGACAGAGATTTTTTTTTTTTTATATATTTCCAATTCAGTAAAGTGTACCTGATCCAAATCAATTTTCAAATGCATTGGAGTTTGGAATTTTGGAAACATTTACTTTTGACAATGTAAATATTTATATCTGGCACGATTTGTGTTGTCAGCTGTTTGAAGAGCTGAGAACTGTCTGATGGTTTCCCTTGCATTAGCGAAAGGTGGAAAATAAAATATAGATGGTAGGAGGATAAACTAACTGGTAATGAAATGTCTAAACGTGATAGACAATAGCTAAATTATGTTTGCCAGCTTTTTAAAGGTGGTGTTTAATGAGTTGGAGACTTATTTTGGAAGTGAGTATTCAAATCACTGCTGTGAATTTAGTTTTGCCTTGAAGAAATGTGTATCCAAATCAAAAGGTTTAAAGACCACCCTGTAAGACTGGGAGGTTTTGTAGAATGTGGGCAAGGTGCCACGTTGTGAAGTCTGAGATCTGCTGGGTATCAGCCTGTTAAATGCATCCCAGTCATTATGTGTTTAATGTCACATTCTTATCCATGAACATGATTCCTGCTCGTGTTTCAGTGAACCTTATGCCCAAACCCATGAAGCAGCGTTGCTGCAATCTCGGACTTGTGTTGCTGTGTTCGTTTTAATGTGACTGACCTGGCATGGGGCTCAAATCATGAATTAAGGGCTTATCTTAGCATGAGCAAGGGCTGAAATTCAACCTGAATGCAAAAATACAAAGAATAATAATAGTTAGATGTCAATCAAAACATATTGTGTCTTGGATAACAAAGTATATTCATTATACTTGAATAATGGTATTTCTTTTATTTTTTTTAGGTTGCTTCTTTTCAATGGTAATTCTTAAGCAACGTTTGGGTTGTTTTTTTCTTTTCTTGAAGGAGAGTGGTTTTTTTTTACCTAGTTGTTCGTATCTGACACATAGGACTCTTATGGACAAAATTTAGAAATAACTGTGCTTTTCAGACAATACTCACTTAGGGTTGGGTTGTGCATGGTCATAAGAATCTTACTTGGAATCAGTCTCCCACCGTTGACCCCATTCAACTTAACTCCTAGTAGTCTAAACATTTTTTTTTAATCTTGGAGCTAATGAATCTCTTCTAGAAAAAGCTACTGAGTCAACTCAGGAATTAGAGTAGGCAGGTGGAGATAATTCTTCCTTCATGGTCTCAGATCATTTAAAATCCCTGTATGTGGGAAATTGGATTCTGACAACTGGTATTTTAAGCTCAGTTCAAGCCTGATTGACTCTTTTAAAAATGGAGACCACTGGTAGTCAATGGACTTGTACAGATTCACATATATTTTTACCTTCCTTGTCTTTTTCCTCACATCAAAGTGAGTACACGTTAAGTGTTTGTGTATTAAATTCTGTGTGCTAGTCACCTAAGTAAGCTTCTTGGTGTAATTTGAAAATAACAGTGTAGAGTGAATAACAGTGAATGTTACTGAATAGCAAAATCTAAATGGCCTGGCTTGATCATTTTGGGATATAGTAGTTCCTCTAGATATTTGTCTGATACAGGTGGGTGCTGAAGGGTTTCTGGATTAAGAGGTGAGGTTAGTATTCACGGAAGAGATATGGTTTGTAGATAACCTCTCTACTGATCTAAAACATCTAAAAGAAGAAAGAACATTAAAACTGAGTCTAAAATCACTTGCTGATCCTACCATTTTAACCAAAAATCAGTTCTGGCATCCTTCCCCATCTTTTAGGCCTTTTAATAAAGTGGACATCTCAGTAGTCAGTGACATGGGCATTGCTCACGAGAATTAAATATAAAAGGTAACCTCTAAAGTCATTCACTTAATGATCCCTATGTATTTAAAAAGCACCCATGCTACGCATAGAAAAGAGACCAAGATTAAGAGTAATATTGTTTCTTTCAACTTTCCTAAAGCTTCTAGATTTTCTGTATCAAGCTTGCATTAATTTAATAATCTGAAAAACACCTATAGATTTTTAATTCATCCCTTCATTTTAGGCAAACATAACAGAGTTGGCAAATATGGTAGATGGAATAATGCCCTCTCCTAAAGATATGTATATCCTAATCCCCAGAACTTTTAAATATGATATCTTACATGGCACAAGGTATCTTGAAGATGCGATTAAGGTAAGCATCTTAAAATGGGAGGATTATCCTCTATTATCCTGATGGGCCCAGTGCAATCACAGGGTCCTCATAAGGAACAGACAGAGGCAGGGGAGTCCAAGGCAGAGAAGGAGATGTGACAGAAGAAGCAAGATCAGCGTTATGCCTTGCCATGAGTCAAAAGAATATGGGCTGCCTCCAGAAGCTGGAAAAGGGCAAAGAAACAGATTCTTCCCTAGAGTCTCCAGAAGGAACACAGCCCTGCTAAAACCTGGATTTTAGCCCAGCAAAACTGATTTTTGACCTCTGACTTCCAGAATGTAAGATGACCCTTTCAAGGAGACTGGTTGCAGCTCATGCAACCACAGGGATGCACCTGAGGACGAAAGACCCCAGCTGCACTCCTCCCCACCCCCCCTTTGTCAGGCTCCCTCTGGGGAGAAGTCAGAGACTAAGACAAGACTGTTGATTCAGTCTACCTAAGCCAGCCTCCAGGCCACAGGGCAAGGTGAAGGTAGATTTGAAGGGGCAAGAAGAAGACATCCTATGCAAGGCTATACCCTTTATCTACATGACCATTTGCAAATTTCCCATTAAATGAATATGAGGTAATAAAACTCATCATTTCCTATAAAACTAGGTATAAATGTCTCAACCTGGCATTCATAGTCCTTGCAATATGGCCCCAAATCTCCCCTCCAGAGCCTTATTCCTCTTATATCTTATGCCTACGTTTTGTTCCCAGTGAGATTGTGATACTTTTTTCTTAATTGACTGTATCTCACCTTTCCCTGTGGTCTGTGCTTTGCCCACAATGTAACCCTTCACCTGACGTACCTCTGGACCTCAGCACTCCCCATCCCTACCTTTTTATTATTCAATCTCTCTGGCACCAGTGCCGCCTCCGCCATGATGCTCCTCTTGATGTCTTTCATGACTGGTGAAATCCCTCTTCATTTGCCTCCTTAAGCAACTTGCTTGTCTTTCATTTAGGACCTGAACCTTGGCTTCTGTAGTATATTAGTCTTACTTGCCTCATCTCCCCATCTTAGATTAAGGGCCCTCATGATAAATGTGCTTTCATATTTTCATTTTA